CCGGGGGGGGGGTAGCATATATATATATATATACATAATATATAATAATGCAATATATATATATATATTATACAACATATATTATGTTATATAATATATATTCCAACTCCCCCCTCCATAAACAGAGCGCGAGCGCCACACGCTGTAAACGGCCACCTCTCCCGTGGCCACAGAGCCCTTCTCGACCCAAAGACCCGCGACGCCCGGGGTCTGCCAGAGGCACTCTGTGCCTGGTAAGCCTGGTAAGGGAATACGCATCATTTGTTAAGCAATCTTTGTCCTGTCCGTTTCTGGGCTGCAGCTACGCTTCAAGATCTTTCCAAGGCCGGTACCGGGCATCTCCAGCCGAGCCCGGCCCTTCGATGGTGTGGTGGGAGAGGCGGTGGGAGAGGCATCCGGCTCCCCGATCCTCTCGGGCAGAAGCATTGACGAGATTGAACAGATTCACAGATTCAACAAGTCTTACCATCTTTGCCCCAGCGACTTGTCCTTAGTTTTGCAACTGCGGTCTCCAGCTGGGTCGGCAGCTCCACAGCATGATCCTGACGCGGGAGACAAGCAGCACACCTGAAGCCTCTCAAATCGGACCGATCGGGGCCTCGATGTTCCAAAGACTGATCTTCTTGGAGACACGGTCGTACTGCAAGTAGTGCGTGCTGCAGTACTTTCCAGTTGGTGGCTTGTGGAGGTGCGACAAGACCTCCCAGATACCCTCTCTGTGGGAAACCATTACGACTGCCTCCCCGGAAGAATGTGCACTTGCGAGTTCTTTGATGGTCTCCACAAATCCGTCGGGGCTCCGGTTCCTCCGACCGACCTGCTCAACATCTCCGACTGGCGGCCAGCAGGACACCGGAACTCCCTTCATGGTTTCTTCGTCCGCCGGGCGCGCGAAGTAGCGCGAGGAGACGCCGACCATTTTCGCCGCAGCACAGCAGTTCAGGCCATAGGCTGGGGAAACCCCGGGCGCACTGAGCTGCTTGGAAATCGCGGCTGCCGTGGCCATGGTTCGCATGGTCGGGCTGCTGTAGATGCAGGCCACCGGCGTGGAAGTGCGCTGGAGGTCTTGCAAAATCTGCTTACCGGCACAGCTCGACTGCTTCCAGCCTGGGACAAGTTTCAGCTCACAACCCGACAGTCAACAATTCGGCAGGACTCTGGCACGATGCATGTGGAAATTTACTGGCGTGCGCCTGTGGCAGTCAAAGGAGGGTCGTACTGTGTCTCATGTGTCCTGAGTCTTCTCCATGCCTCTCGATCTGCCTCATCTAGCCTCTCGCCATGCCGAACGAGGATCACATAGGTGATCTCCCGGCCCATTTCGGAGCCTCACCTGAAGCCCTTGGGACCCCTTGAACCGAAGAAGCTGCAAGCCAAGTGCCCAAGTGCTCGAAGCCTCAAAAAGCGGTCCATGATGGTCCATGTAATATATATATATATATATACACACACATTTATATATATATATGTGTGTATATATATATATATACATACCCCCAAGACATGAGGCGGCCCGGCGATGCCCGGCCCATCCTTCTTGTGCTGCTCGGCTGCTTGCTTGCAGTCAGAGGCCACATGGCCCCGATCACCGCAGATGTCACACTTCACGTTGGCCATCCTGCGCTGGGCCGCTGGGCTCCACATGCCTCGGGCATCCTCGATCTGAGGCCCACGCTTGTAGCTGTACGCCTCTGACTCCGGGCAATCGAAGCCTTGCAGCATTAAGTGGATAGACGAGACCATTCCCGGGGGCTCTGCGAGGTGATGAAAATACACTGCGATAATGTCATTGATTGAATCATAGCAGTTGGAGCTGCACACTGAGCCAAAGACCTAGATGCCCAAGTGCACCGCACACCCCACACCGATGTTCTGACCTGACGAAGGAACCGCAGAGAGCGTGATAGCGATAGCCACAGCTGCCCTTTCCAGCATCGTGACCAGCCACTGAACGTCTTTTGAGCGTGCGACGCATTGCGACGTCAAGACTCAGGCTCCCACTTCTTCAACGTGAAGCCATTCACCACCGCCACTTGCTGCATCCCGTGCGTCCTGCTCCGCTGTAGACTTCAGAAGGGCCCAACACTCGGTTTCAACTGACCCTGCCTTGAGCCTCCGCAAAACTCTCTAGGATCCGTGTCCACATTGTCGCGAGTCCCCAACATCAAGCAAAGGCATGTGAAAGCAGCCAAGCCTGGCGTACTCAAACTCCGGGCTCTCCGGGTTCAGAAGCCTTGGGCTCGATTTCGGGCTTCAGTTTCTGGAGTTTAGACAACGCACCGCTTTCGACTGTGCCATCACCACCGAGGGCGCGGTTGAAATCACACACCATGCCTTCATGCAGCTGCACATCTGGGGACCTCGCGGCATGATGAGATTCGTCGCCGTCTCAATCTGCTCTTCGGTGTCTCCCTCGATGTGGACCTTGCAGAGATTGAGCAGTGCCAACTGCTTCAAGAGTCGACCATGCTTTGCTGCCGCTCTCACCAAGACTCTGCTGCTGACAGAAGCTTCCGCTACTTTGGTCATGCAGTGCTCAGGCGTCGGACATGTTGGGGCATGTGCAGCTCTTCATCCGTCTGCCATTTGTCCCCGATATCCTGAATTCGATCCGGCTGGAGGCCATCAGGAGCAGAAGACAGGCCACCCGTGAGAGAGAATCCCTGAAGTTTCCAATATGTTTGTGCTCCTTCCCCCGAATGAAGATTCGGCACCCACTGGCTTCCTGCGACTTGGGCACATGCAACTAACAACCGAGCAGCTCTGCTAGATTCTACTCACGCCTGCAAGCGCTTATGGTTGACGCCGCGGGCACCGATTATGACGCCTCGTGATGAGTGTCGGAAGATCTTGCAACAAGCTGCCAAGGCTTGACAAGCACTTTCACTTTCTCAGGGCAGATACCCATGAAGGAAGCGGTTGGGTATTTCCTCGGCTCTGGAAGCAGGTTTGCAGATGCTTGCAAACTGCTCTGAAGTATGATCTTTTTCTAGGCTCTCGCGGCTGCAGAGTCTGGAATATTCTGAAACGCACTTTCAGACTGATCATGTCGCTGCCTCGCCTGCAGCACTGGCCTTCTTGCTGCAGGCGGGCGCGTTGCATGGCGGCATGACCCTCGGGTCAACTGCTACAGAGACGACTTTGGTCTGTATTTTGTTCGGAAGGCCGGGTCACTAGCGCATCTCTCGGCCAAGGCCTCCAAGGCCTCTGCGATGGTAAGCTTGCGGACCATCGCATCCTCCAAGAGTTCGAAGGCAGGTGCCAGCCGACGTCCGTCACCCAAGGTGTGATACACAAGGCGCACGCCAGCTGCATTCGCAGCAAGTGCCTGGATCGCAAACATCACGGGCTCGCTGTTGAAAAAGGCTCCACAGCCCCAGCTGCCAGTGGAGACCTCGGTCTCGCCGAAGAGCTCATCCTCCCTCACGGCCACGAAGCCTGTGTAGGCCTTTTGGAGCATCAGCTTCAAATGCTGCAAAGTGTAGACCTCGAAGCTTGCCTTGATGGCATCTATGGCCACGACGGTAGGAGAGCTCCACTGGTCTTCCTTCGGATCCAGCAAAAGTACCTTCTTCAGGGCATCCTTCGGTGCCCTACCATACCAGCCGATTTTGGCAAAGCGCGGAGCCCCTCGCATGACCCAAGCCTCGTTGGGCTCCATGGAAAAGGGGCTAGCCAAAGGCTCCTTGCTGGGGTCGGGCATCTCGAGCAGGCTACGTGCACACAAGGCACCAAAGTCGGGGCGCTCAATAAACAGGATCTCTTCCTGAACACATCCGTAGCTCAACCATCCCCCGCCCAAGCGTTTGTTAGCAAAGTCCACAATGCATGGCTCAGTGGCCTCGTCGAAGACTCCCTGCACCACCAACGGCAGCTGCCGAATATGCCTCTTGCAACGGCCCTTCTCAAAGTCCTCCAAGTCCGTGAGCCGAAACAAGGCCATTGCAACAGGCTTCTCAGCAACGTATGATGCGCTGCAGTAGTGTTGTCGAACATGTTCCAGGACGCTCTCCTGGATCTCGTTCGTTGTTCTAGTGAAGTAAGCTGCCTTGTGTATTTCGGTTGCTCGCTTCCAGTTCTCGGCAGTGGCCCAGGCTTGCAGCCTCTCGTGGGTCTCGGTGAAGGTGGCGATCCTTGCAACGCCTGTGCCGGGCAGTCGCTGATGTGCCTCCTCCCGCTCATCGATCCCTACCCTCTGTCCGATCCCACCACCAAAGCGATCACCGCTGTAGGAGCCGTAGTAGCTGGCTCTGGCGGCTGTGGGAGCCTGGGCATCCTGGCAGCGAACCTCACGGGTGTAACGGGGTTGCACCATCCAGGGCCGGTCCTGCCGCGACAAAGCAACCGATAATCCAGCGGCAGCCCCGCAGCGGGCCACGGAACGGAAGGCCCTCATCTTCTACAAAGCCTACAAGTACCTTCGGAGCCACAAGCCGCTCTTCGACGCGTCAAGGCGTAAAGTCCAAAGGCTTCACCCTCTCTTGCCGAGTAAGGGCAGGACTCGTAGGGGATGATGATCCTAGGCACATCTTCATGCCACGCACCAAGAGACAAAAGAAAGCAGCTGAAGAGAGAGCGAGGGAGGGCGAGAGGCGAAGAGAGAGGAAGCAAGCAAAGAGAAAGCAAGGAGAGGAGAACTCGCATTGCGCGGACGAGGCTCTTCTTCACAAGGCGTTGCGGCTTCCATCCTTCCGGAGGCACATAGTTCTCCAGGTTCTTTAGCATGTACCTGTAGATTCACCAGAGTGTGCTGCTTGAGGACTTCTGCTGAGTTCTGCTGGCCTGATGAGCCGGTTGAATTCAGCCAACATCGCCTCATTTCAAATCTGATTGCATGTCAGCGTCGAGGGAAGGAAGCCACTGTGATGCAGCTGGCCTTGCGGATGCGGACTTCTCGGGTGTTCAAGCGGTTTCCCTGACCTGACTCCCAGCGACTCCGAGAAGCCGCAGAACTGCACATGGCCCCGAAGCCCGCATTCAACGAGCCGGGCTACGGTCATAGAGAGGCGGGGGCGACGGAGGCCGGATGTCGGGCTCAACCTCATCGAACCCAACAGGATGTTCGTGCATGCGGTGCAAATCGGTGTACGCTGTGGCCGAGGCATCCTCCAACTGTTGCAACTGGGCCAGCAGAGTTACTTCCAGTCAGCCCTTCAATGGGCTCGTGGGCTCGTCGCACCTGGAGCTTGCGGTTCAGGTCCTCCAGCCTCTGCTCTCGCAGGAACTGATCGACCTGTCAGCCGAGGCGAGGCAAAACAGGCGAAACGTGGCTTTTCCTTTGAGATGCCCGGGAGGCCTCCACCTCGGAAAGCCCCACCGGAAGCTCTACATACGGCAGGGGCCGAAACCTGAGTGGCTTCCGATCAGCCTCGCACTGCGTCGCACCGCATTCCGGGAATCCCTGAGCCCTCAGCGGCTTATCCTCCGGAAGGCCGAACCTCCGAGGAACCAAATGAAAAAGCTCGGCCAGCCTTTCTATAGAAGCAACGTGCCTCTTGCCCTTCTTTGGGACACCGCCGACACCTTTTGCCTTGCGCTTGTTGTCGCCTGGCACAGACAGCCATCAAAGTTCCCCAAAAAGATCCCCCTTCTCCCCCCAGATGGTGGCGGACTGTCGTCGTAGAGCACCAAAGACCGCTCCTCAGAGGACGTTTGAGATGCAGCGCACTGTGGAGAAAGCAGAACGAGGCACCCACCGCGGCCCCACGCCAGGGCACAGCATCTGCAAGCACAAGGGCCTGCTCGAAAGCCAGGTCCGGTCGACTGGCTCCCTACAACCAAGACTGCCTAGCCTGGGATGCATCTGAAACGACGAGGGAGTCCGCCATCGTCTCTGCGCAGCCCTTTGCGCCGACATTCGCGGGCACCGCAGGCAGTCACGGCAAAATCGTCTGCATGGGGCGAGGCCGCAAAGCCCCTGACGTGTGGCTTAATACTTGGGGGTTAAAGTCTCCGTCTGCAAAGTCTTGTTGCATGCTTTGCTGCGATCGGAGCATACATTGGTGGTCAAGTTGTTGGTGCATTTTGGGTGATGTCCTGAAGTCCCGAAGGAATCTTGCGTCGGCAAACTGGCAGAGTGCAAGGTTTGCGACTTTGTTAAGGTTGGGTGAGTCTGGCCAGCTACTGTCGACTTGGAGTGAAACGCTGCAGTCACCGAAGGGGGAAGCTTCGCCGGCTTCACCTAAAACACCTGACATGCGAGGCTAGCACTAGGCCTGCATCAGAGGAATCCTCAAGCAAGCCGAACCTGGTCAAGACATGCTGCTTTTTGCGCCGGGCGCGTGCCAATATGCCTTCGTGCGAGAGTTTGCACAGGGCTTCTCGAAGCGAGAGCTGCCACGGGGTGATGCCCTCTCGATCTCATGCTCTGATGATGCCCTAAATAATGTATGACCTAAATATCTAGATATCATCTTCCCAGGGTTCCAAAAGCGTCGGAGCTCAACTCGACACAGGTTGCCCGCGCCCCGCAGTCCAAGCCGGCCCTTCCACAGAAAATTTGCAACTCTTCAAATGCTTACCCGAAGTTGTCGACGTGTCATATGGCAGGAAGATTCTCTTTTACCACACCAATCTCGACCTTCTGAAGCTCTGAACCTCTGTGCTCCCTTTGAGGCTGAGCGTCTCAGAGCGGGACCTTCATGTTCAGGAGGCTCCTTGGATCTCAGTCCCTCTACCACCCCCAGGCCCTCGGAAGGAACTGAGCCGAGCACGTCTTCTCAAGAAAGGCTGGAATGCGGCCTGCCGGACTGCCGGAGTCTCGAAGCTTCACCGGGACCACGCGGGACCGACAAGAAGGGCCTTTCATGTAAGGGTCCATGTTGGAGAACAAGGTCAAAGCCTTCTGCAGCTCCTGAGCGCTCAGGAGCTACAGTAGGCCCCCAGATCTGGCGAAAGGCGTTTGCCGGTCGCCTTCTGGTCTTTGGCCAGATACTTCCGAATGTAGATCACGTCAAGCATGCTGAACTGCGAGGCCTCTTGGAGGCCAGGGCACCAGGAACGGAAAACCCATGTCTCTTTCTTTTAGCTCGATGCGCCCAGCGCCCATCTACAGAACATCCATCCCCGTCCGAAAAGGCAGCCTTTGGAGGCTTTGGCGGGTTGGTTCCCGGAGGTCCTCGGAACCCGACAACATGCGCAAGCTTCCGCATGCAGCTGTGACCTCCTGAAATTTCCTATACTTCGGCCGATGTGTGCAACCTGGATTTTGAGGGTCTGACGCTTCTTGAAGAAGGGCTTCTGAGGTGGTCGACCCGCCTCAAAAGTCCCAGATGGTGTGAAAGCTGCCAGACAGACAGTGTGGTTCCAGATTGTTCGGCTGATGTCGATGGACGCTCGAAGGATTTCAGTGCCGAGTGCCGGGCTACCTCCGCGGAGCGTGAGACCACAGGCTCGCGACTTGACACAACGCTTCCACAAACGAAGTCCAGCAACTGCCTTGGCGCGTGCCGCTTGCAAGCACCGCCCTTCCCGAGCAAAGAGCGTGAGCTGTTGGGCCAAGCTTCGGAGCTGCAAATGCAGCAAGAATGAGAAGCGAAAGGAGTCGCGAAGCTCGCGCCATCGAGCCTGAAGTCATGCGCAGCAACCTATCCAGTCCTGATGCGTGACAGAACATGTCAACAAACGTGAGGATCATACCCTTCAGTCGGCAGCACCCTTCAAAAGCGTACAGCCACTCGTCTTGAGCCAGGGTGTTTTGGCATCGTTCAAAAAGCACAAATACATGCAACGACCCTTAAGCCTTGAGTCACCAGACGGAATGACTCCCAGACACCTGCCACTGTTGTCACTGAAGGTCCTTGCACGTAAGCTCCCAGAGTCCTGCCGAATCTTGCCTCAATAACACCTCATGTATGCAGGCGAAATAGACACATCTGTCCATCCATCCATCCATGCATACCGTGCATACACACCTGCATACATGCCTCCATACATACCTACATAAATACATACAGACATACAGACATACATACATACATACATACATACATACATACATACATACATACCATGCATACGTACGCACATACATACGTACATGCATACCATGCATGATGCAAAGATACATACATGCATGCACACATACCTACCGACGTACATACGTACATACATATTCATTCCCATACACACATGTACACACATACAGACGTACACACACAAGCACTTAAACATACGTACATACATACATACGTACATACATATGTACATAAGTATGTACTACCTAAATATACATACATACATAAATACATACATATACTCGGGCATGCATGCATGCATGCATGCATGCATGCATACATACATATTCCTTACGTACATAAGGCATACATGCGTAAATACGTAGATGTACATACAAACATACACATATACGCATACCTATACATATGCTCAAGCAAGTACGAGTATATGTGCATACATGTATACATTGGTTATTCATCCATCCATGCATGCCCACACTCGCACATGCATAAAATTACGTGCATGCACAGAAACATCCATGCCGTCAATGTACGTACTCATAATTAGCAAGGAAGCTAGACAACATCCAGCTATGTATAGGCCTCGTGTGCGTACCTGTGCATGTGCGCGCCTACATACATGCTAAAACATACATAGGCACCTGTACGTGTACATGATCACGTACATGTACATGTATATGCTTGCTGTTGTATGTAAGTACTTGTGTGTCTGCATGTATGTATGTATGTATGTATGTATGTATGTAAGTGTGTTTATATATGTGTGTGTATATATGTATATACATTGCGCGTGTGTGCGCATGTGCATGTGCGTGTGCACATGCATGCATTGTATAGTATGCTAGGTTCGTGTAACTGTATAACAATAATAACTGTACTATATATGTATATAGATGTACACATATTATGTTATGTGTGTGTGCGTGTGTATATACAGTATATATATATATATTATGTATGTGGGGCATGGATGTATCGCTGCATGCATGCACGCACCGGTAGGTGGGCAGGTCGGGAGGCAGGCAGGCAGGCAGGTACGTACATGTGCAGGTATGCACGCAAGTATACATCTGTATGCATGCAAAGCAGTACGTACATTTAGTACACATGCATTCATTTGGACGTGCATGCATCTACACCGGAACGGCATGCATGTACTCAAGCACGCAGCACGCACGCACGCATCGCCGGATGTATACATAAGCCATACAATGCGCATGCATACACCTGGCAGCTAGATACAGAAGCTGATAGTAATGGTGTACTTCCACATTTGCGTGAAACTCGTTGTGTGTTTCGCTAGCATCCTGCCGTCTACTTAACTCTATCAATCTATCTGTCTGCCTGTGTATCTGTGAAGTGTACAGAAGCAATACCACCTGATTTTTGGAGCCGTCACGAGCTGCTTTCTTCGTCTTCTTCGCTTTCGCTGCTCTCCTGCAGACTTTGCTGAACAGGCAAGGCCCGAAACACCGGCTGTGCATGTGAAACTAGTTTGGCGGCAGCAGGAGGACGAGCAGTAGTAGCAATACTAACAGTAGCAGCAGTAGCCGTAGGGTGTAGTGGCAGTGCTATAGTGGATGTGGAGTGGTAGTTGCAGTGGTAGTGGTGGTGGTAGCAGGGGCAGTAGTAGTCGTCGTCGCAATAGAAGCAGCAGTAGCAGCCACAGAAACAGCAGTAGTTGGTGTTTCCTTCACTTTTCAGCCGTTCGACTCGGTATTTCCGAGAATTCTGTTGTTTGGAGCACTTCGGATTTTCAGGGGTTTTCAGGCGGTCCCAATTTCTGCTTTTCTGCTTGGGAGGTTTTGCTCATTCGGCTTCTGACGGTTTTTCCAGGCGGTTGTCGATTTGTGCGGTGGGGGGGTGGGTGGGGGTGATTGATGACGTATCTGCCGAGGTGGCTGGCTCGCGGCATGCTTAGGCCGCAATAACATCCACTCCGACCTTGTCCGTTTTGTTGCAGCATCCATACCCCAACCGAAATCCATGCCCCGCCCCTTTCCATGCCCCAACCGTAATAACGTTCACTCCGACCCAATCCGTTTTGCCAGAGCTTCCTAACCTCCACTGCGCAAGGCTTCGAACGCTCACTCGCTTCTGTGTCATGGGGGACAGCGCAGTGAAAAAAAGGAGCTTCGCGCCAAACTACTTGCGAGTTGTCAGCATTTCGGGCCCTGAAAGCCTAAAAGTCCCTTACCTGCTAATGTATCGCCCCTGCCATTGCTTTCGACATGTCAACATTACCGGAAGTGCCTCCCGCAACAGGGGCGCCTATGGTGCACGCAGGTACCCTCGTCGTAATCGTAAAGAAGGACTACGACAAAGTGAGGATGATGGGGATGACGATCACGGAAAGCATAATGACAACAGTTCCGACATGAGAAAGGTAGATGTACGGCCAACACACAGGATCAACACCACAGCGAGATACACAGCGACAGCGATGGCGGAGGAATCGGCAGCAGCACTAACGAGGAGCAAAGGGAGACGACGACGAGGACTACGTCGCTTCTATTAGATTCTATGACCGTTAGACCGTTAGCCTGGTTCTCGCGGCTCACCGTGGGCATTCTGGTTTGTGGGTTTGCAAAGCTGCCATCTCGCCCTGCCTTTTTGGCTTGCTTTGCTTTGCCGGCAGTCTTCTTCCTCCAGGATTGTTCTTAACAGCAAGAGCTTCGAAAGCTGTAGAGCCCGCGAGTTGGAACTGACCTGAACTCCCAAACTGGAAGGTGCTTTTGAAGCCTGAAAGGCGCGGGACCTGCCTCATGGCTTCCTGGAACTTTTGCTTTATGAGCTCCTGGGCGGATTGCAGCTGCAGCGGTAACCGGCCCCTTTTCGATCGGAACCTTTAAGAGAATGGATATTTCGAGATTCCGTGAGACCCTGCGGCAGCCTCGGTCCGCTTCTTTCGCTCTTGTGTTGATTTGTCCTTCGCGTAGTGGCACTCAGGAAAAGACTCCGATTACAGCGGAGTACAGCACTGCAGTAGCCGCTTGCGTACCAAGCTTTGCCTTGGCCTTCTTGTCTTTCTTCTCATTTTGCTTCTGCTTGGAGTCCTGAAACGGCTGTAACTTGCCGGCAGGAAGGTGCAAACCGTGGACCCGCACAGTGAGAGCAGTCCTTGCCATGATGCTTGCCGTTCTTCGCCTTGAACACTCTGGTGAAGAGCCAGGAAGACAGAAGAATCAGATGTCTAGGCCTTTTTTCTCGGCTTCGATTCGGAGCTCTCCTGGATTACACAGGCGACTCCAGGCGTGCCTGCTGCCCTTCTTCTGCAAGTCCTGTTCGTCTTCCTCGTCCTCCTCCTCAGGTTTGGTCAACATGATCAGGCATGACTACACACGGAAGGACAGGATCCTCTTCCTCTTCTTCCTCTTCTTCCTCCTCCTCTTCGCTGCTCTCCTTTCGCATTAGGACACCAGTGAGTTCTCTGAGCCGCCCCTGACAAACCTTGACTAAGCCACAAAACGGAATTCAAGCACCTCGTTGCTGCTCTTTGCTTCCCTTGGAGCTGCAACTTATTGGAAACAATGTCGTGGGTAAGGAGGTTCGGGGTTCGGATTTGGGCTGAGGCAGGCGCTTGTGCTTGGTCAAGCAACGCTTATGAGAAAAGAAAGCCACACTGCAGACGAGTTTCTCCACCTGGGAGGCTGCCTTCAGCACTGCCTCCGGCTTGCAACGGAGGGATCTGTGTCAGACCCATTGATTTCATGGGACTCCCTGTGGCCAAGGGTGCCTTCTTGCTGGCTTTCTTTGGAGGTGCTGGTTTGGACCTTCGAAACTGCCAGCTCGGGCTCTGCCAGGCTTCGCTTGAACGGTGCAGACCGCAACAGCCGGGAGGAAAGCTCTTTCCGCTTTTCAGAGGCCGCAAGCTTTGCCTGGGCGAAAACCAACGAAGGTGCGGAGAAGAGAGGGAGCTTGGAAGGCGCATCTAGGCAGCCGCACAGCTTCTGCCTTCTTTGCCTGCTCTTTTTGTCGCTCCTGCCGATAAGAACACGACTAGCGGGAGACAGCCATGCAAAAAAAGCTCCGGGCGCCCGGATACCGGCAGTCCTCTCTTTCCTTTCTTTTTCTCTCCATCTCTGCTTTCAGCTTCTGCTCTCGAAGCTTCCGCTCAGCCTCCATCGGCGACAGACTCCACATCGGCCCAAGCAACGTGGCAAAGCAGCAAAGGGCAGTTGATCCTCTTCGGCTTCGGCTTGCTTCTTGGCTTCGGCTAGCCGCTGCTTTTCGGCCAACTCCTTCTCCTCGTCAAGGGGGCCACGGTTCTTCCACTCTGACACGCTTTGTGCTCATGCTGCGAGCCCTTTTACGACCCTTGGCACTTGCATGCACTTGCCCTGCTTTGGTTCTGGCCTGAGCCTTCTTCAGGTCTGCCGCGATTTCCTGGCAGGAACATTGCATCAGCAAGGCACAGGCGGCTGATGAGGACGGCTTGCAACGTTAGTCGTACCTTTGGACGGGAGACTATCACAGCAAGCTTCAGCAGGATAGGGCTAGGGATGGCCTAGCCTGACTGTAAACTACATGGCACTTAGAACCTGGTGCTTGCAAGATCACCACAATCGCTGACTTGCACATCGTTCTTTGCCAACTCTGGGAGACGCGGCCGCGGCGTCTGCGGCCTCCTCCTTCTTGGCAAGGCCTGACAACCCCCGGGGCCCAAAGTGCACTGCAGCGGAAGTTCGCCTCTGTTAGACTTTATCACTCGAGACAGAGTGGCCTTTCAGGTCAGAGGGAGACACCGAAGCTGGCGAAGGCGCTGCCTGAGGTTCAGAGATGTGCGAAGACCTCACAGCATTTGCCAGGAGCCTCTTCTTTCTCAGCATCGGCCCCTGCTTTGGACTTCTTCGCTGCCTCTTCAGGAGACCGCATCGGGACAGCATGCATCGACAGATACTCGAACCAGGTTGCTGACAACCGATCCCTTTTGTGCCTTGACGGCTTTGTCTTTAGCTTCCTCTTTCGGCTTCTTGTCCTTGGCTTTGGTCTTCGTTTTCTCCTTGCACAGGCTTCGGCCAGGAGGTTTATGTTTTCGCCTCGCGACAAGTCCCTGTCCTCTTTCTTATCTTTGCCTCTCTCTTTGGAGGCTTCCCTTAGCAGGATGCAAGATGCATGGCAACGATGGGATCTGGCGGGGCTTCCTGCCTCTTTCGCTTTTCTGGCTTCTCGGAGACCTGGACACACCAGTGTCCACTCTGCTTTACTGGAGCTGTGGCGTCAGCGAGCTCTGGCGCCCCAGAAACCGCTATCTCAGCAAAGTATTCTCGAAAGTTGTCTTTGGCAGCTGTTGGAGCAACTATCCTATCCTGATCTGAACGTCGTTACCTGCGCCTTTGAAGCTTGTACACTCTGTTGTACCTGCTGCTTGCGGCCCGTTTGCGATTAAGTACTCTTCGAATCCCATCAACGTCGCCCACCCAACATACCAAGACCCCGCTAACAGAGTACAACTAAGGCCTCAATCATTCGACTGCGATGCAGCCTGTCTGTAAGTCATGCAAGGTTGAAGTGAAAACGATTCTGCCTGATCGCTCAATGGGTCCCAAATCCAGGGCCCCAACCGATGATCTGTGCTTGCGGTCCGATGACCTTGGCTTCTAAGTTTCTTGTGCAGTCAGTACTTCGGGGATTGGTGCGGCCGAGGGCTTTGCAACAGTACACCTACCTTTTCATCAGCACTTCCCCGCTGCGAGACTGGTCATGGTCATTGCTGCTTATGCGACCACTCCAAACCCAGCTCCCTCTAGACTCATCTGGGAGGCACACGCGGAACGCCGACGCCCACGACTTCGGCTGCGCCTTTGGCAATGGATGCAAAACGGCTCGTAGATCTGGGATGAGTCATGATCCGGAATGCAAACCTCCGGAAACAGCAGGCACTTGCTGAACTGAGCAACAATGCTTTTCATCCCGCACGTCTGCCGTCCAGCTATTTGACAAAGTCCTTTTGGACTCGCTTCATGCTCGGCGGAGTGGGAGCATTTGGCTTGCCAAGAAAGCCTGGCCGTGTAGAGCAGGCTCTCGACTTACGATCACGGTCATAATGCCCGAGACATCCGAAACGCGCAAAGGAACCACACAGGACCTGCCTAGGACGGGTTCGAAGGGGTCATCCCCAGAGCCCCCGAAGTTGAGGGAATCCTCCACCTGCCAGGGGCCAGGAAGCACAGCTTGGCACCTCTGTTGGTGCAGGCACCGGGTCTCGCAACCCACCTCGTCAACGGCGCCTGCACGGTAGAGATGTTGCTTCAGGTTGAGGCGACGGTGCAGGGCTTCCGGCATATTGACGACCGTGGGCAGAGCCCTTACTTCACAACCGGCTATTTTGTCACGGGCTAGATGAAGTAGAGTAGCCGAATCTTCCTGTAAGATTATCTTGCTATGCATCGGGGATTCCAGATGCGCAGTCGGGACTTACTGACCAAGACTCACATGCATTGGAAAAGGGCCCCCACCTGAGGAGGCTTCGATCTCACTCTCCGGGCAGCTCACGGGCTGCAGCCGCCCCCGGCGGAGGAGTGCTTCTCTCAGGGCCTTGTACTTCTCCCCCGTGAGAGCGGACCTTACTTCGTCACTGACTTTGCCGTGGGACCTGGGAGGGGAAGTCTCTGGCTCTCTGAGCCCTCTGCTTCTTGGAGGTGTCCGGGTCATGAAACTGGTGGTAAAGCTCGGCCTGGTAGAATGGGAACTTGGAGGAGTCGTAGATCCTTGGACTCTGTCTATGCTTCGCTCCCTCTCTGTCCTCGCAAAGCGCTGGGGAAGTATGTGCAGCAGCGGCTCCAGACGACATCAGTGCCAGCCTTGGCCGTAGACTGGAGTGACATCACCAAATCGGATCCCACACAGCCTATGCATCACCTGAATCTACCTCAGGCGCGGTTCATGTGGGCCAGTGATGGCCATGTTTCGAAATCGCACTCCAACTAGACTTGGAGATGCACCCTTTTGTAAACCACTCTTTTTGTCAACCGCTGCCGCAAGCGACACAAGGATGCTATACCTGGCTGAGTGCGGCACAGTGCTTGGATCACTGCCCTTTCCCACCGCCAGCTTGAGGCGACCGCCGCTAGCCTCCAGGATGTCCTGCACCCGATCTTTCGGGCACAAGATTAGACTGAGCTTTAACCTCAAATGCAGGACTTGAATGTTGCAGGAGTACAGAGTTCAAGCCCAGAACTCCCAGAAAGGCTTAAAGACTTCAAGGCTTGTCTGGGGCGCCTTGCCTTGAAGTAAGGCGACTCCGAACCTCCGGGCAGGCCCAGCATCGCCCGATACTCCGGGCCTCGACGTACTCCATCCTTCAGGTTTTTTGCACTTCTTCTGCGACATCCCCTCCATAGGCCCCAGGCTTTACACGCAAAGACTTTCGAGCCACCCTCCTCGCTCTCTCCTTCCTCGCCCTTGCGGTCGCTGTCAGTCTCATTTACGGGCACTGGCACCTGAAGCATGAAGTGGGGGAGGATTGCGAGGCAGGGTTCAGGTTCCTTTCATGATGGCCACGAAACTCATCAAGCCCCGGACCTTCAACACATTTTGTCGAAGCAATGCAGCGAACAACATCCAACAACCCCTGCAAACCCATGGGCCAGACTTTGAGATTGCGAATGGCTGCGAGTTGAGAGGCTGCTGTCGAAGTCAAAATTGCCTGACGAGGTACCGAATCCAGGAAGGACTTCGCAAAGTCGACGACTTTGTCGGGCGGTACGCCTGCAACCTGGACGGCCTCCGCATGCCCCAGGATGGCATAGTCTCGTCGCGGATACTCCAGATTATGATAACATACCAGCTGATTGTTGACCGGCTGCCCCCCGGCATAGCCACTAATCGATGTGATCGCAGTACCAGCGCGGCCCAAGAGCTGGGACTCTAATGAAGTGCAATCACTTTGCACTTGCCAGAAGGAGCCCTGCCCAAAGTACATATCCACAGGTGGTCCGCTCACAGCTCCATGCGCAGGACCTTCAGCGGCCACCACAGTTCCAGACAGCAGCCCTGCTAAGGCATTTCTTCGTCGAGCTGTGTCCTTCACACTTTGACGGACGCCGGGCTGCAGAAACAACCTCTCCCTGGCGGAACCAAAGAGCCTTTCTGGACCTGCCAATAAGAGCCAGGAGAAAAGGAGCAAGACGCCGCCGCTTCGCCGAGAAGCCCTGGAAGACCGGGCCACACGGCCCCCGCGGGCCGCACTCATCTTCGAAGCTGTGCTAAGATATGTAGTGCTTATGTAATGCTTCTGCCATGTTATATGCCTATCATGTAACATAGCGCGCATGGTCCGCGCGTCAAGACAATGCCTTTCTGGCATTCCTCGGATGCATGCTCAGGGTCCGAACGGCACCTTGAGAATCCAGGCCGAGGAGGACTAAACAATGCGGGCATTTGCAGAATCTTGTGACACTGACTTGGCTTTTCAAGGCGCCCCAAAACTTGGCACGGGGGGGGCACCGTCCGCGACTTTTGCTGCGTCGGGATGCCCGTCTTTCTCCTCAACTCTAGAGACTCTAGAGGAAGCATGCAAACATGCAGCTCGAATCGGTGTACGGTAGACTGAGGGTGAAGGGGTCGCATTGTAACGTTTGAGCACCATGCGGTCTCTGTCGCGATCGCGATCTCGCTTCTCTTTGCTGCGGCTTCCTCAGCGTGCAGGTCACATTTTTCAAGAAATGGTTCACCAAGCTTCCACAGCAAAGTCTGCGAGACGCCACTGTGAGCTTCTGACTGCTTCTGCCAGCACGTCTTCTCCGACTTGTGCTTTTCTTCTGCTTTTTGTCTTCCTTCGCCTCTTTGGCTTCTTTGGCTTTCGTCTCCTTAGCTTCCTTCGGCTCACTTGCTTTGGCCGGGGGGCCTGCAAGAAGAAAGCCATCAAGACTCCAGGGCAATCGGAACCACGCCTGGAGTTTCTTTGCTCTCATCCTGACAGATTTCCAAATTTCCTTGGTCCCCTTCCAGCTCTGACACCCTGAGAAGCTCTGACACCATCCCATCGTCCTGCTCGTTGCTGGCCTTCGCTCTAGACTCAGCTGGCCTTTGCAGGGCCATGTCACTGTAGCTCTTGGCATTTCGCTACATGCTTTTGCCTACTAGTACCAGGCCAAGGCGGACACTCTTCAGCAGCTTTGGGGGCCTGACGAAAGAGAGCACACGCAAGACGATGTGACCTGAAGCCCAACCTCTGCGGCCGACGCAGCTGTCTCCTGCCAGGAAAGCTTTTGTAAAAGGGGAAGCTCGTGCTCCTGACAACGACGAATAAAGCCAGAAAAGGCTCCTCCTTCGGGGAAGTGGCTTTTTCTGCTTCGTTGTCAGCGGGAGCCTCCTGTAGCAGCGCACAAACTAGTATATGTTACAGCACTCTATAGGCTTTCCATCGAAACCTTGGGTTGACGTACATGTCTACACCGATCTTTGCCTCTAACTACCTATCTATCTGTCGCTTGTGGGTCAGCCTGTCTCTATCTGTACTGGGTGCGAGTTTTCTGTTTGTTGTGAATCCCAAGGGCGCCAGGTTCTTGCTCTCTGTCTCTTGCGCTTCCTCCTTGCTGTGCTGACTGGCCATGGCTCGGGCATGCTGTGATGGTATGTTATGTTAAGGCATGGGAGGGTATGCGCACGTGTGCGTGTGTATGTATACTGTATGTATGTACGTATGTACGTATATGCATATGTCATATGTATGTACGCATGCTGGTATGCTTGCACGTCCACATTTTGGTCCGCGAGTGTGTGCATGTCCCAGCCTGTCTAAACACTTGCACAGTATACCAGCACCCGACATGTGTACTGGTGCATGTTGCACAGTATGATAGGTCGCACGAGCAAAAAACAAATCATTGAGTAATCGCCAGACATCGTACAGACTGTTGGAGGCGGATGAACCGACAACTATAAGAAGGAAATTGACAGGTGGAACGAAGCATTGCAGCCGATGCGGAAAAAAACTGATAATTGTGCACGCCCGTCTGCTGGATTCTGCTGGTGTCACATGTCCTGTTGTACAGATCAGAGAAGCTCAGAACACCCCTCTGCTCCGGACGCCTCCGGCTTTGACCTGGAACCACCTCGGTCGGCTCCAAAGATATGGGCTTGATAGATACGGCGGAAGCATTGAGCTGCATCCTCAAACCGTTTGCAGCACTCCCTTCCGACTGAATCCGACTGACACGGCAGCTTGGCATAGTCTTGTAGGGGTGTTCTGAGGCAAGAGCCATCTTTCTCGGAGGCTTTAAGGCCTCCAGCTTCCTGCACAGAGATCAGCTGGAGCACTCGTGCTTGCACGGCATTCTGAATGTCTTTCTTTGCGATTGGGAAAGCTGAGGCCCTGAGCAGGGAGTTCGGAAGCCCCTGGAAACACCCTCAAGCGTCCCCAATCAAATCTGTCCTGGGCTAGTTCGTCTGCTTTCGACACCAAGTCCAGGAAGTAGATGCGCTCCTCAGCTTGAAGTACTCCCATGAACTCTCTTCGCTCGAGTGCAGCACAGAAACCGAACACACAGGCGATGCAACCATCCGAAGAGGCTGCCCCGCCGTCTGACAACACAGACCCCATTGTTTCTTGCCACTGCCGCCACGATGTCCGAGTCTCATCCCAAGGCAGGAATGCTACGACCAAGCGGATTTTGGGGAAAATCGCTTGGAATTGTGCGAACACGAAGAGACAAGAGACACAGGGGGTGTGGCAGGAGAAGAGCCGCACGGTGCCCGTTGCGCTCGAAGACGCACCTTGATGGACGAGCCTTTGAAGAACCTTCAGCAAGGCCCTTCTCTCGGAGTGCTGAGACCGGTCATACGAGGAATAAATCGGCCTCAGGAGATCCGAACCCGAAGGCCAGCGGTGCAGACCGTGTGCGACGATCTCGCCCTTGCTGCGATAAACCGAGTTGGCGCCTGTTCCGTCCGGCTGAAAAACCAAGTAAGACACCCAGGTGAAAAGCTGACGGGCGGAGGTCTCCTTTGGCAAGCCGCCTGGAAAGCTACGCTCAAGAGCAACTGCGACTGTCTGCTTTGCTGAGTGTAGCCACTCTTCGCCCTGGCCACTTGCGATCCCCAGCTGCAGCAGCGCCTTTCTGGCAAAGTGGATCCCAAGGCCATGCTGGGCAGTAAGCTTCGAGCCTATTTCGGAGGCCGCAACTGCGTGCCGGAGTTCCGCCATGACAGGCTCAAACACTACTTCACGGAAGGCCTCATTCAAATCCTGGGACATGCGACCGGCGGCGTGCAAGGTGTCCAGTGCCAGAACAGTGTGTACACCACGAGACACACTGAGCTTGATCGCAACATCCAAGTCTCTGTCCTTCTTCATCTCTGCCAACAGCAACAGCGCACGATCCGTAATTGCGCGATACAGTGGATCTATGTGAGGAAATGCACTGGGGGAGCCAGAAAGTTCCATTGCAGTCACAGCACTGCACAGGCCTGACACTGTCGGCTCACACCCTTGGGATTGAGATTCTTTCAGCAGAAACAAGGCATCCTCCCAGCAACCAGCCTCGCACAGCCCTAACGCGGCATCGTACCCCACAACATCCAACTTCTCCGTCTCAAGCAGCTCCTTCAGGTACTGGAGGCCAAGTGCCCAGGATAGACTCCTTTGAAAGGATGTGATCATCGAAGTGTGGCAGTGAAGATCCGGCGTCAACTGCTGTCGGGGCATGCCTTGCAGCAGGGAAAGGGCTCTGTGCCAGTCACCACCCTTTGCACAGGCCGAGATTGCAGTTGCCACACTTCGCACATCCGGGCCATCAGGATCCGGAATCTGCTCGAACAGCGACAAGACATGCTGCCATTTGCCGGCCCTCTCCAATGCCTGCATCGTAGTATTAAAGCTGATTACATCCGGCTCGACTTGCACCTGTTCCTCCATTGTGCACAGCAGTTGCAATGCTGGAGCCCAGTGCCCCGCCCTCCCTAGTGCTGCAAGGAGTACGTTCTGCGTCACGACGCTCGGCGTCAAGCTCTCCGGCAAAGTCAAAACCGCCAGCGCGGCCTGCCAGCGAGAGCACCGATTGCAAAGGCTCGCAACGGCACTGAAGCAAGACAGGTGCTCTTGGCCCAAACTCACATCTGCACACACCAGCTGCAGCAGTTCTATAGCCTGTTGCCAGTGACTTCCATGACCGAGATCTGAGACTGCTGCGCAGACACTGGCTGGCAGAGAGGCAGAGTCGCCGGAGCCGGAGCCCCCGTCCTGGACTCCCTGGACCTGCAACTGCTGCCAAATTGAGTTCGGATCAGGGGCGGTGGCGGCTGTGGCGGCGGTGGCCCCGCGACGCTGCAACGGGTCAGCAAGGCAGGAAGACGCAAGGCACAAAGGACGGAGTGAAGGGACCGAAGCTCCTTCCTGCAGGGAGCATGGGAGTCGTCGTGTGAGCCTCACACAGGCACGAGCCATCGGCACATTGTTGGCACAGCGCAGCGCTTGAGCCCGGCCGCAGATTGTGTGATTACGAGCCCTGCTTACAGTCTGCGGAACTCACCCAGGATGCTCTCAGGCGTCCACCGAGCGGCCCAGGCTGAAGACACAGGACTGGCGCAGCGCAAATTGTGACTGAAGCCAACTTGGCAAGGTCACCCAGGGAGCCATAAAGCAAGCTGACATACGCTATCCTTATCACTGAGACGGGCCTGCCAAGTCAGCTTCTTGCGACCGTCACCAGGTTGGAACAAAACAGATCCTTGATCGGTCACAAGCCCTTTGATTGGTCACAAAACTTCTGCTTGATACACCTGAAAGCCAAGATTCTGATTTCCTGTTTCTCCATCTGGTCCAGCCTTCTGCGCGCACGGGGACACACACACAAACACGCACGCACTTCTGCAATGGCATGCATGTGGTATCTACAGCTAAGACATGCTAAAAGGAAATGCGCACACCAGGTCAGAAAATGCAAAGATCAGGCGAAGCATGACTCTTGCACTCTCGGTGCCCCCCGAGCTAATTGAGAGCTGGACAGGCCCATGACACGGCTTCGTCGCTCGCCCGACCTTCGGAAAGGGCTAGCTGGACCTGTGCTATGTCGGCTGAATGGGGCGGCGAGGCTGAGGATCGGACAGCTTCTCCTCGCATTCTGTGCGAAGCTTCACCAGGAGCTTTGGGTGATGCGTCACAGCCTTGAAATAACCGAAATCCGATGCAGTCTGATGCTTGGGATGAACGGCTGGGACTCTGACTGATTGCACACTTTGTCCGGAAATCGGATTGAGGTGGAAGCCCTGGAACGGACATACTCGACATTCTAGACTCTGGACACACTCGAGCCCCTTGCAGCAGTCCTTGGCAGTGTAGACCAAAGCCACGTGCTCTGCATAGACGCCCTGCCCTCTTCGTTCAACAACGTGAGAGCCTTCCCGCGGACCAGCACATTCTGAACACTAGCCTCGAGAATGTCCCAAACCTCAACCACCTCAACCCTACCATTAATCAATCTTTACGCTCAAACCCTCTTGGCTCCCCACGCTCGGCGTCCATGCCAAAAATCAGTGGCTTCGTCACGGCCATGCCTGACTGGCATGGAGTTGGGGGTATTGGTTAGCTTGGGGGGTTGAAACAACTCTCGGTCCCGCAGAACCTCTCCACTGTCAACACACAAGCTGAAGCTTCGGCTGGCGACTTCTCTTGCACCCCCGCCATCAAACACCCGTAGCCGAATGCCCAGCCTCGAAGGCTCACAATGGCTCAGAGTCAGAGCGGGGCACATCTCTGCGGCTGACCGTGCGAATCGAATGCACGCCCAGGTTTCGGGCGGAATGTCTGCTTTTTGTGGGGGAATCTTCCAGAAGGGTGTCACCTGCCCGTCAGAACATCACTGCACCGAGCACCCATGCACAACACACAGGGCCAGCAGAACATCACCGGACCGGCATAGAGTTCACGATCTCCTCAAACTCCGCAGGTGGCAGCTCGGATGCAGCACCCTGGACGGCAACAACTGCTGCCCCCATTAAAAAACTTGCCAAGAACCAGAAGGACGCAGACGTGACGCAGACGTGGGCCATCGTGGGCCTTGGCCTCCTCCTTCTCCCGCTTCTCGCGCGCCCGTGCCTCGGCCTCTGACCGGGCCCTGGCCTGGGATACCAAAGAGTGCACTCTTTGAGCTGCGAGCTTCGTATATAAAATTTTGGGGTGGTCGTTTGCAGTGGTTTGCCCGCGGTCCTTCTCCCACTCTGCTTTGGCTTCTGCTTCCCGCCTCTTCTTCTCCTGTTCCATTGTATCACGGAAAGCAGGACCAGGATTCTTTCTGCCGCCCTGCCTCCTCCTCCTCTTTCTGGGCCTTCGCCTTAGCTTCCTCCTCTGCCTTGGCCTTGGCAGTTTGGCCGACTGTTGAAGTGGTTTCTGGTGACTGTCTGGGTCTGCGGCGGCTGCAGCTAAGGCCACCCCACTCATCATCGGCAGGCCCCATGATGGCTGAAAGCCCATCCTTGGCCAAAACTGGAAGGCACACGCCCAGTCATCCCATGTTGCGAAGGCATGCCTCTTGCGAAGACTCCACTATATCTCTCTGTAACCATGCAGTCGTTATAAAACGCTCAACACGTATGGCACAGTGGACACTGTCCCACTCCCAAAGCTCTCGAGCATGGACATGGACGTAACTCGGGGAAGACAAAGTTTGAGCACTCTCCAAGCCCAGTACATGGGCATCTGCCCCATCATCGGGGTGCCTCAGTGTAGTTGCACCCGCGGCTTTCGCAGGAACAAAGGCCTCGATCCCTGCCGGGCGCTGCACCCATCACGTGCATTGCAGGCGGGCCAGGGAGCGGCGCTTGCACCTTCGCTTCAAGGCCCAGTCGCGAAAGGGAACCCCCCAAACCCTATAGGCTTCCCACCTGCACCGGTCCGCCCGGTGCGCCCGCTCCGGCAGCCGGCCTTGCGTGCATCAGAGGCTCGGGTCTCATTCCCCACTCGCTGACTCAGGGCTAAGCCCTGTCGGCACAGCTTTCTGCATCGGCCTGAAGCGAAGTGCGGTGTTCAGAGTCTTGTTTTACACCATACTGTCCTCACGAGCACGGCTTCTCCAGGCTCCCGACGGCACCACCTGCGCCGTCGGCGTGGCCGGGCTCGCCTTCTTCGGGATGGCACTCCCGAGGCTGGGCGCAGATGCCTCGCCGAGATATCCGCAGGGATAGTTCATTCATTCCGAGACGGAGCGCGACGTGGGGGCTTGGGGCTCAGCACGCCGCCTTCGTGGAGGCAGTTTCTGCCAGCTTCGCCTCTGCCTGACATGGCACGCTGTCGCAAGTGGGGCGGGAGGCACGGCCTTCCACCCCCAGAGCTATAAGGCTATAAGTGTGTGCAAGTCGTGGAAGTAGAAGTGCTTGAAGTACTTCTTTACAGCTGCACCTTCTTCGCCTCATCCTCCTCTGCATCCTCGTCTCCACCGCTCATCTCAACGACCTGCCAAGCGTTAGGACCGCAAAGCAATCTCCGCGAACCTGGTGGAGCTTCGGGCCTTAGGCGTTCCGCCCTCGCCCTCGGATGAGAAAACAGCCCGCAGCTCCTCCTTGGCCCGAAGCTGCAGCAGCAGTGCACTGAGCTGCTATAATAGCTTCTGGCATGCATGGCAATGCGTGGGCTCCGCAATGTGGCGAACAGCCAAGGGCCGGGCAGCCTGGGGTCCGGTCGCCATGCGGGCGGAGAGCGAGTCCCACCTCAGAAGCTTCCACACGTCCATTGGTATCGACGAGTCCATCTATGTGAACCAATGGAGGTGCGAAATATAAGACAGGCAGGAGGGCCAGGATTCTCTCCAGCTTTCTTAACACAGCTCCTGGAAAGGCTGCGGCTGCGCTGCATCTGGACGAACTTTCTTCAGAACCTGTGAAGCTGCAACAGGCTGTAACAACAACGGGATAAGTACCACAACCAAGTCGAGAGGCCTCCAGTGCCAAGTCGAAGAGCGACTTGTCGATCACTTCGTTCAGCAACCTCTCGGAAGGAGCATGTGCAGCTGTCTTTTCCGCAGAAGTGGTGCCTGTCAAGTGCTTCGACTGTCTGCCGTTGGTGGTGGCGGTAGACTTTCCGCGCAGTCTCGGTGATGTCAGCTTGCTGATATCTTCAACTGAGGTTCCGCGGCTCTGGGTAACTGGCCACCGCCTCGACTCCTCTGGGCGGCTTCCTTCAAGGTCACAGCACCATCAATTGCGACAGTCCAAACCCCGTGGCCCACAGCTACAGAAGCTGCCAATGTTGTGGTCTGAATGCTTCGAGTTTGAGGCTGTAGCTCCGCCAACTCGGCCGAGGGCTGTCTCGATTGCTGCGTCCATCGACTCGGCACCCAATCTCCCATCCCAGCAACTAGCCGCTTCCTCTATCCTCTCGTGGTTTGAACGCTCTCTGCCGACCCGGGCTCCATGCAGGACACAACTCTCGAGCAGCTCTGGCGGAATGTCCTGTCGGGATCCCGGAGGAATCGTTCGGGCTCTTCGCGGATGATTTCTTCTGCGCGGGGCACCTATAGGAGATAGCAAGATCTGCGCTATTACTAATTACTATCGGCCAGATTTACGCTGTTACTATCTTCTTCTCTACAATATCTCCAATTACTTCTCTTTTTCCGCTATTGCGCAACATACTTATAGGAGATTATGGTAAAAGCTGTTAGCTCAACACGTGCCCTGGCACCAGATATCTTCTATAGGGATCTATAGAGAACGCATGGTATACGCCGGTGCAGCAGCATTACCAGAAGAAACATCTTGTGTGGTACCTGCCAACTTGTTTGACTGAGTGAATGTCAAGGTAAGAGCAACCCGTTGAGAAAACCCAGTACGGTCATTGCGAGCAAGAAATGCTGCCTGGCGAGCACTGCCGAAGTTTCTTCAACATGCAGGGCGATGCCGCATACTGCAGACTTGGCGGAATACACTGCCAGGTGGGACGCAGGATTCTGGTGCTTCCGTACTTCGCAGTTTTCTGTGTTGGTTCCGCACGTCCTTTCTCGATGGACTTGGGCTTTGATATACTTCTATGGCATTCTATGGCTCAGGGCATGGAGGCCTGGGGTCCATTTATCGCGCTTCGGCCTGGTGTGCAAATGAAACAAGTGATGAACCCACTTCTGCGCACTGCACACTAGATTCACTAAACTACACAAAGTGGAATTTCCACGCGTACGCATGAACTGCATGATGGCTAGCTTCAGCTCTGGGGACTGTTCGCTCCTTCACCAGATACCAACACAGGCTGCATAACTCTCACGGCCACACTTCTCTGCGTATCGTGTTGGTGGCACGCAGCCCACCTGCAGATCATCTTCATCCACCTGCAAAAACCGTCTGCCGGCGTCCCAAGAAGTTGAAGTCCGAAACCAGAACACCACTTCCACGCTGCCAGGTTTAAGGAAAGCTGCCAAGAGAAGAGGCGCAGCGACGAAACCAAAATCCCAAGCTCCCGGCCGGATCATCCTTCCAGTCCTTTGTGCGTAAGCAACCGTGCTTCTGGTAACTTGGAACCCGAAGAGGTGGCAGAGACGAGTATTCCTGCAGACCCAGCATACCGTCCTCTTTCACTGGCACCTCAATGTCGTCCTCCGGTCGTAGAACGAAGGGCCGGGGAGCCTGCAGATGGAAACATGCAGAGAGAAGCAGCTCAAGAACCTCCCGTTGCAGCTACCTGTAACTGGCCTATCATGCAGCACTGGGACCGAAGATACAGCAAAAGCCTCTACATATCTCCAAATTTCAAGCAGGCAGCCTTGAAGCCACCATTTGGTGGAGCCACAGCGGCCTGCCAACAGAAAGCAACCTGTTTCTGGCATTGTGGTTCGGCCACTTCGGACCGGGCTGACGCTGATTAAAACCCATGCTTTTGAGCTCGCGATGAAGTAAAACATTCTCGAACTACAATCGCGCTGCAAAGGAGTCGGGGGCTGGGCCGTTGGCGTGAGCAGTGCTTCTTGAAATTGAAAGCCACTGCAGCACCATGATCAACCGGAAAAGTTTGGACGTCGCCTGTTGGAAAGAGTTGGGCGCCGGCCTCATGGGTCCACAGGAGCAGCGAAAAACACGACGAAAGAAGATGATCTCTCTTCGTCTCCATACTCGAATGCTGCTGCGATGTACTGCGCTTTGCACATCGTCAGCACTCTCGCCACCATCACCATTCCCGATGCTGTACTAGTCTTCCATGTTCGCTGCTCTGCGCTATTCTCTTACCATTACCGTTGACGTTTCACGAAACAGGTAATCTCGCATCAAGTCGATTAATCAGCATCTGGGAAGCTCACATTTGCCCAGCATATGATCCAGGAACTTGTGAAAATCCTGTCCGAGCAAGCAGATGAAACTGGGCGCGCACCAACGTCTGAAGCTTAAGCACAGTGCTTGCAATACAGAAAACGCGTCCAAGGCGACGTGGATCCTGTCCTGGAACTGGTCGCACGAAGGCAGGAGCCGCTTGCGGAAAGCCTGGCCTGGAATGGGACTTGACAAAGCATCGCTCGGCGCATTGGGGAGATGGTTTTCGTCATGATCAGCTTCTGTGCGGATTTGCATGGACTCACCATGCTGCTCTTATTGCCGGGGGCAAGGCAGCTTCATGAAAAGCAACCGGGGCGTTTCACATCTGTTGTCATGCTGCTTTTGACCGCAGGTCCATCAGCCCGAAAGTAACGAACTACGAGAGAAGCCCAAGCCCAAGATCGGACGGATGCGATGCAAAAGCACCAATGCACCGCGAGGCATCGCTCTGCAAGGCCCAAAGGCTAAGTGATACCCTCAGCAGCCTGCACAGGACTCACCTCGCGGCCTGACCTGCCTGCACTTCTGGATACCAAACTGCACATGGGGTACTGCAGTTCGCGGCTACGGCAACAGAAAGCAAAGAAGACATCTGTACACGGCCAAGACCGCTGCCGAAAGCCCGCAGCTCCTGGGTGCAGTGGGGCGTCGAACACTGTTTGCAGCCACACCTTTCCCTCCATTGAAGAAAAGCCTTAAAGCCCTGCCAGCGCGGCTTCCTTTCTACTAGGACGTCCTGTGCCAGGCAGCGTCCCAGCCACCCCTGCGAACGGGACCGGAGCTCCTGGGGATAGCCACAGGGCAGGTCACCGACCCGGTGAATGAACAAGGATGTGTGACTAAAGCAACGCTGATGATGAGAACGATGGTTATGATGATGACGATGGCGATGGTGATGGTGATGATGATGATGATGATGATGATGGTGGTGGTGGTGGTGGTGGTGAGGATGACGATGACGGTGGTGAGGATAATAATGCTTGTCCTCATGCTGTCAAGGATTGTGACGATGATCTGATAACGAGGAGAGGGAAAGAGGACAAAGGGAATGATGATGATGATGATGATGATGATGACGGTGATTACTTGAATTTAGGGTGCAGTTGCTGTTTATGTGATTTTGGCTCCGGCGGGACGCTAGGAGCAATGCCAAAGGCGATGAGGAACACTGGATTCGAACAATGATGATACTCACCACATCTTCCAAGATAGTAATGGAAATACCAACAGCATGGCCACTCCTACAACTGCTCTCACTACTCCTGCTCCTACCGCTTCTATGATGACACCGATGAGGAATTATATCGAACCGGTTGTGCCATGCTTCCCAGCACTCCTAGCTGAGGTCGGCCGACAGCAAGGCCTGCATGCCTCTATCAGTTACTTGACCGGTTCTAGTGCCAGCACTGCTTGCAGTGATTTGCAACAACACAGCCGGTACTGACAAGGGTAAGAATAACACTAACATTACACTAGTAGTGACGATATCTACATTAATATGCAGGCAGTAGTGGTGGAAGTAGTGGTAATAGTAGTCGTGGCAGGCGTCGGCGTGGTCTTGATCGAGGTCGACTTTGTCGCCGTCGCCGCAGCAGCAGCAGCATCAGCAGCAGCGGGAGTAGCAGTAGCAGTAGTTTCTGTTGTTGTGATGGCAGCGGCAGCAGCAGCAGCAGCAGTAGTAGTGGTGGTGGTGGTGCTAGTAGCAGCAGTAGTAGTAGCAGTAGTAGTAGCAGTAGCAGTAGCAGTAGCAGTAGCAGTAGCTGTAGCTGTAGCAGTAGCTGTAGCAGTTGCAGTAGTTGCAGTAGTAGTAGTAGTAGTAGTAGTAGTAGTAGTAGTAGTAGTAGTGGTAGTGGTAGTGGTAGTGGTAGTGGTAGTGGTAGTGGCGGTGGTAGTGGTAGTGGTAGTGGTAGTGGTAGTGGTAGTCGTAGTCGTAGTAGTAGTAGTAGTAGTAGCAGCAGTAGTAGTAGTAGTAGTAGTAGTAGTATCACTAGTAGTAGTAGTACTAGAGGTAGTAGTAGTAGTAGTAGTCGTCGTCGTCGTCGTCGTCGTAGTCGTCGTAGTCGAAGTAGTAGAAGTAGTAGTAGTCGTCGTCGTCGTCGTAGTAGTAGTAGCAGCATTAGCAGTAGTAGTACCAGCAGTAGTCGCAGAAGTAGTACTGTATAGAAGGAGCAGCAGCAGCAGCAGTAGCA